AAGCCACCTCAGCGCTGCTGAGCTCTAATGTGGCTGGCGGCCCTTGGTCACATGCACTGTGAAGGTGGCAAAAGACAGAAATGTTAGTAAAAATAAATAAATAAATAAATAAATCCTAAAGTCCTAACCGTACTATTTCACCACAGCCCTTTCTCCATGTGACACAAATGCAGTGTGACGTTTTCAGGCCACTGGCTGAAGCAGACCACAGAGTCCAGCCCCGCCTGCCCTCTGCCGCCAGAGGGAGGACAGGAAACCGAGGGATGTTGTTCACGGCTGGAGGCCCTTCCGTCTGGGCAGCAGCGACAAAGCCAAAGGCGGGGACCAGGGAGAGCTAAGTTCTCAAGAGAAGATGATGGAAAATGTACGGCAAGTCAACAAACGGCACGTGGCAAAGGTCATGCAAAAGTGACAGGAGTAAAGCCTCAGCCTAACATCTGCTCATTGTTTTTCTGTCATCTCTTTATCCTAGGTTATTAACATTAAAGTGTTTTGTGTGAACTAGAAAAGAATTGAGAACAGTAAACAATGCTAGTTTCTCTTCAATAAGCCACCAACTATATCATCATCAACCAACTGTAAAATCTAACCAAAAAACTCAGCAGTTAGGGGGTCCAAACAGGATATAATGGATTTTAACTGGGGAACATGTTAATATTTCTCATCTTAAAGTCTAGACACTGTACATTAGAGAAAATAATTTTAATTACTGCGTTACTGATTTAACCACGAACCCATATCTTCAAAATAAATATCGACGTTTCACCTCCTCCCCGGCACAGGGCGGTATTCTGAATACAAAGTGAAACGTACCTAGAAAGCTTCCCGTTTCGGTGCTCACACAGTCTGCCTGGGCCACTTCCTCAAAACCGGAAGAGTGACAGGGAGGACGGAAACAACTACTAAGACCGCCAAATTAAAAGGGAGGTGGCACCACAGCACTTCATCACAACCTAAAGACACCATCCCAGGACAAATACGAAGCTGTCACAGGAAAGCAACAGAAACCCTGAAAGCGGGAGTCCACAGTTTGGAACCGGGTTCAAGCTGTTAGGAAATGCTATTAAATCTCAATTTTTAAAACATTTTTAAAAAACAATTTACCTTTAATTACATGAAACGATAATGCAATTTATAGAAATTCACTGAATGCGTGTGTTCTTGGGTTTCTATTTAGAAATAATTTTTTAAACACTTACAAAGATGAAACAACACCTAATCACACCCAACTCAAAAGCATTTTGAATCCAAGTATTTTATAACTGGGCATAACGAGATGTTCCCGTTAGAGTCTGCAGTGCTGGGCTGGCATCAGAGGCATCGCTGTGACGTCACGATTCTGATACAAGTGGACGCAGTGGGAGACCGCCATGTGTCCACACGCACACGCGACAGCCTCTTCTTCAAGGCTCAAAACCTGGAGCAGCACCTCCCTGCCTCCCGCGGCCTCTTCTCCCTCACGTCCACGTGCAACACATCACCAAGTCCTGTCCGGTCCGTCCCCTGACCGGCTCCTGCCTCCGCGGCCATCGTGCTGGTCATCACCATCGAGTCTCGCCCCCTCAGTCCTCCTCAGGTCCGCTCCGGCCCTCTCCAACCCAGTCCCTCCAATATGACCACGGTGGTCTTCTCGAATCACAAATCTAATCACGTGACTTTCCCGTCCCTGCTTCACGCTCACCCCAATAAACACCTAGAACCATTAATCCCTTCTCATTGCTCTGAGCATTAAGACCAAAATCTTTAGCGGGGGGCTACAGCCCTGTTCCCAACCACGCCTGTCTCGTCCGGCCTCATCCGACGGTTCTTTAGTTTCCTACGGTTGCTGTCACACATCGCCACAAACTCAAGATCTTAAAACAACACGCATGTGTTCTCTTTCAGTTCTGGAAGTCACAAGTCCATCACCAGTCTCACTGGGCTGAGATCAAGCCGTTGGCATGGCTGGTGCCTTCTGGAGACTCTGTGGGAAAGAATCCGTTCCCGTGCCCTTCCAGCTTCTAGAAGCTGCCTGCTCTCCTTAGCTCGAGGCCTCTTTCTCACATCACTCCAACCTGTGGCTTTGATGTCACATCTCCTACCACTGACTGTGACCTCCTGCCTCCTCTGTCAAGAACGCTGTGATGACACTGGGCCCACCTGGACAAGCGGCTCAGCTCAAGCTCCCTAACTTAGAGCTGCAAGGTCCCTTTCACCACGTTGGAAACACAGTCATAGGTCTGAAGGTTAGGACATGGGCCTCTTTGCGGGGCCAGTACCCAGCCTACGACGCCTGCGCAGCCCTCCATGCCCACTCGAGTCCCTCCTCCAGGGCTGGAGCCCCAGACTCTGTCCCATCACACGCGCTCTGCACACATTGCCCCTCAACCCTGATGCCCACGTGGCCGAGGTGACTTACACTCATCTTTCAGCTCCAAGTTCAACTGCAACCTTCCTGATACCCTGGCTCAAGTCAGAAGCCCTTGTCTTATATACCCGCAGAACTGTCTTTCAGGGCGTTTGTCCCCACAAGCGTGTGTTTGTGTGCCTACAGGTTAAACGGTCTCTGTGAGAGGGTCCGTGCCTCCCGGACCACACTCTGATCTGTGGGACGGCCTAGTGCAAAGCTCCACGTATGTGGAGACACCAGGGACCAAGGAAGCAAACAGCAGCCTCACACACGAGCCTAAGCCAGCGTGAGAGCAGACACGCGGGGTCGCGGGCCACCTCCAGTGGCCTGCTCCAGGGCCAGAGGTGCTGCACACAGGGTTGGTGGGGCCCCGGGGCCAGTAAACAGGGGTGCAGTGAGGACGACAGCATTCGGAGTCACCCGGAGCCCAACGGGCTTCCCCAAAAGTAAATCCTAGATGGTGATGTCCCTCCACGGCACCGCGTGTGGCTGCGCATCCCCCACTGCACAGGTGGAGTCACCAGCCCACTGTGCACCAGCAGTTAAGAGACATCTAAGGCTTCCCACAGACAAGCCACGAGGCAATCAACATTCTCGTACACACGACTCTGTATTTTCTTTGCGTGAGTAAGAACCGGATCAAAGGACGCGTGCGTTCTGAACTATCACTTCTGGTGATAACGTCCTGGGTTGTTCGGACAAACACTCCTGAGAGCAACTAAAGATGCTAGGTGAAATATACAAATGTCACCTTACAAGAACCGAAGGGTCGATGAGACAGTGAGAAAACCAGGCCAAAGTCTACGACAAGGCATGAACAGAGATGGAAGGCAAAGGCGAGACGCACAGTGAGAAATTAACCTGAATACAGTGACCAAAAAAATGAAAAATACACGGCTAACTGAAAGAGGGGGACATGGAAAATGACTCAGAATTTTCCAGAACTGATGAAAGATACCAATATTTTAATTGCCAAGAAGCCCAGGTAGACCTCAGGAAGGGCAGGATTATGTACTATTACGTACGGACTGTGTTTCATAATTTTTAAAAGGCTAAGGAAGAAAACCATGACTCTACCCCTGACTTCTGTCGTGAGGTCGGAGCACATGCGCACAGGGTGGAGGGACAGGCAGCAGAACTTCTCGGCTGAACTGGTAGAAAATGTGGGATGGAGAATCTTTTATAAAGCAAAAAATCGAAAATTGGCTTTTACCATATGAATAGGCCTGATGCTAATAAGATAATTAACTCACAAAAAGAAACTGTGCACTCAGAGAAAGTAGCTTACTCCAAACGCTGAACAGCTGTACCCTTGTGAGGGCGGGGCTAGGAAGGCCTTTTACTTTTTTACATATTTATGCACCATTTCAAATTTTGTTTTAATATGTGTATTGTAAAAAAAGCTATAATTTTTAAATAAAAATTTTAAGTATTTCCAATTAATAGTAAGGTAAGGGGCCATTATTAGTCTTCCAAAGAACAGACTATTTAGGAACTATATTTAAAAGAGAAAAAAATGAGCAACTTACAATTTATCATATACTCGCCTCCTAAAAAAATCCTGAATAAGTAGCAATATGGACTTTTTATTGACTAAAATACTACATTTATTAGGCTGTTAAGAAAGGAATGCTATAGCGTGTGAAAACCCCCGCAGGGCACCACACTCCATCTGAGGCACCTGCTTACCTGGCCCATGGGCTGAGCGGTCGCTGCCACACACGTCCAGTTCCTGAGCTTCCAGCTGTCTGTACTTGTTAATATACTCCAGCTCTGAGCTCCTCTGCCTAAGCGGCCTGCAAAGGACATTCAAAGTTAGTATGCTGTTTCCAAAAAGCCAAGAAACTGGGCGTGGTCCATAGTGTAGTGGTTAGCACGTCTTGCTTTACATGCAGAAGGTCCTGGGTTCACACCCCAGTGGAGCCACAGTCCATGGTCTATGGCCATGCCACCCTGAACAAGCCCGATGTCTGATCTCGGAAGCTAAGCAGGGTCGGGCCTGGTTACTTCTTGGATGGGAGACCACCTAGGATAACCAGGTGCTATAGGCTTAAATAATAAATTTAAAAAAAAAAATCCAAGAAACCTCTACGTGCTAGAGAAGTTCTTGAATACTTTTACGTTGTCACAGAAATGCAGATGTTCAATACACAAATAAAAATACAGTCAAATTCAGTCATTTACCAACTAGCTGCAAATTAAAACAAGTAAAACAAATCATTTCCTCATCCTTCAACGTGGCCAAAAAGAACATATTCTTAGACAATAAGGAGGGCCGTAGACGGGTCTGGGCTCACTCTGAAGGGCGTGGCACAGCATCTCGATGCTGCTGCTCCTGCAGCCAACGCGTCCCTCCGCCTGTCCGTGGAGCAGCGTCTACACGTGCAGATGAGGAAGCGTGCGCAGACGGGCACGGAAGCTTTCGCTCACTCCGCAAACGGCTCCCGAACACCAGCACGTGCAAGGCGCTGGGATGCACAGAACAGCGATAAACAAAGCAAACCCTTGTCCTCAGGGGCCCTCGGTTCCAGTGCATGAGGCAGGACAGAAGCTGAGGCACTCATAGCGATGGGGAGGAAAACAGGGAGAGGGAAAGGGTTGCAGGGAGTGGGGGCACCTTTTCATCAATCTGTAACAGAACTTTGAGTGTCTAGCAGAGGGACAAGCTGTACTGTGGCCTCTTCAAATGTGTCACTGCTTAAGCATGCCACGGCTATTCACTTATAACAGATAAAAATGTCTATTTGTATCTATTAAGTGAAAGAAGAATTGCTCTGCGATGTGCGAACGCTGCCACTCGTGTTTCGCTGGCCACGTCTAATTTAAGTGCACTGCTGTCGCAGGAGAGCAGGACACCAAACGAGGAGCTTTACTCCAACAAAACGTCATCTGCATTGAAGTCTGCTCCTGTCTGAACAACGGCTGTGTCGGCATTCTTTGCGTTACCGTTTGCCTGAAACCGACTCGTTAGTGAATTCACCGAACGGAGCAATGATGAGGGCTGACTCCACGGCGGGCACTGTCCTGGGCGCCGGGGAAACGCAGTTCCAGGCTGCCCTCGCAGAGCACAGCGGGGCTCGGGGAAGAGAAACAAGGTAAAGCATGGAGCATGTCAGACCTGACGAGTGCACGGAGGAGCCTCCTGCCAGGAGAGGAGCCGGGCCAGGAGAGACGCAGTGTGAACGGGACAGACGAGAAGGGGCCGGTTAAGCAAGGATCAGAACGAAGGATGAGAAAGGCCCCGCGGCTTGGGGTCCGGGGAGAGCAGGAGGTGCGCCAGGGTCCAGAGGCCCATGTGGCTCCAGCAGAGGGAGCCTGGAAGAGGGCGGGGGTGGGCTAGTGGCAGCCAGGGGAGGGCCGGGTGGGGGACTAGAGGACCAGCAGGGACTAATTATGACGACTGTGGCTTTTGCTCAGAGTGGGACGGGTGTAAGCAGAGAGAGAAATAAGAATCTCGGCTGGTTTTTTAATCGATGGCTCTGACCGGGCGAAGGGGGTGGGTAGTGGGCAGAGCCCAGGAGACCACCCAACAGCCCGCCGCCATAACCAAGGCACGCGAAGGGGCTCCGACGAGCACGCGGCAGAGAGGCGAAGCACACAGAACACGCTGACAATGAGACCTGGGGGGCGAGAAAGCAAAAGGAGCGTCAGGAACGACTGTGCGGGTCTCGCCTCCGCAAGATCAAGCACGCACACCGCCCGCTGCCTCCCACAGGGCGAGGCTGTGTCCCGACGGGTGACCCGCGGCTGGCAGAGGCCGCAGAGGGCGGGGACACTCCACTCACGTTCCCGTCCCATGCCCACACCCTGGGGTCTGCATTACCACACCAGAGGCAACAATTTAAAAGTCACGGTGACGACAGGAGGACATCGAAGGAAGCGGCGGCAGGATGCGTCGTAACTCTAGCAGAAAATCTGGCGGGACAGTTCCGCCATGAACTTGCTCCAGCAGCACACGTGCCGCATCGCGAAAACCCCGACGCCAGGCGTTGCCAGGCGTTTCCCGCTGTACCAGCGGCTGGAGGGGCCGGGCGACCGCACGCGCGCCGTCACCATGACGCGCGGGCCGCGTGTAAACCACGTCTACTCTGCACGGTTCATATGGAGGAAAAAGCAACAGGAGGAACAGATAGATGCCACAAGGAGCCAAGCCACCAGGCCGCCTCCTGGGACCTGCCCGAGCCAGAGCGCGTCCCCTCCAGCGAAGGAGGCACAACCCACTGAGGGCCACGAGGTGGCGAGGCCTGGCCGCCCCAGAACTCGCCCCGACGCCCCAGAACTCACCCAGACAAAGCCTGCAAGCGCCTCCACTCGGCGGCATAGGGAGCCCGAAAGCGGTTTTCTGTGACGAGTTGTATGCTCTGACCTCTCTATTTCCTCCTGACTTTATTCTATCACTGCCTCATCACCACGTTTTTAAAGAGATTAGTAAGTGTTTGACGATAGTTATCTACTTAAGTGTATGTGATGTCCTCTAGCATGGCAACTCGCTTAAGTATACAAACGTAACTACTACTTACAAAAACAAAATGAGTACAGAATGTAACATTTACTAAATATTCCACACGTGACTGAGAGCGGCATTCTTTGCCCATTTTACTCAATTATAAAGCGCTTTCTCAGAATGTATATTTTGCAAAAAAGCCACGTCTGATCTATTTTTCCTGCTTTCATTAGAAGGGACAGTGACCTGGCTTCCAAATGGCCTGAAAGTTAAGCTGAAGAACATGGTTATTTTTAGAGCTCTACAGGCATAAAAATACAGCACTAAACTGTGACCCGCGGCTATGCACAGCAACGCATCACATCATGCGACAGTCTTCACTTTGGCTGGGAGCGCATCTGTGGTCCTTGGACCGTTCTTCATTTCATTACCAAAGATGTGTCGACACGCATTTAGGACCAGAATCCAGAGCTGCCAGCAGCCTCTTCAAACAGACTGAGCTCCACTCAAAGGCAGACCATTATATAATTTGTGAAGATTAAATAGTAAGTTATTTTTGTTATTTCTTCTAGCTTACTTACGAGGTGAATTAATGAGCATTCTCTCCAAATGAAGACATCACAACCTCGTTCTTAACATAAGAAGTTATTTATTTCCAATGCAGTTTCAGTGGCTGAGTCAGGAGACTCACTCCAACAGGAGACACTTCCAGGGGAACAAGACATGCCCGCGTGAAACACGCTTCCTCACCGATCCGAGTAAGCTGGCGACACCACCACATCGGATCCATCACCTTAACAGGTACGCTTTAAATCTCTAAACCTGTACAAAACCTAAGTCAAAGTACGTTTGTAGATAGCACTTTCCTATGCATTAACATTTTCCAGCACCTTAAGAACTTTTAATAGCAAGTGTTAAGTGTTATTCTCAGAAAATGTTCAGTCTGCAGATTATTCTAACTTTGCATATTTTGTTCCTGTTCAGCTACATACAAGTATTTTCAAAGCTCGGTTTCTGGCACTGACCTAGTTAGAAATTAAAAGACTTTAATCCATGTTCTAATCTTACTTTGACCTGTATATCTAACCAGTAAAAAATTCATGCACTTTTCTGGCAAATCTATTGCAAAGAAACAAATATTTGCTCATCTGAACCACAATATTTTATGCAAATAAACAAGTGAAAATATTTCCATAGGCTAAAAATGCCACTTTTTGGCTGGATGAAATGGCCAAAATATGATTCCTACAAACCCACACACTATCCTGGCTCAGACATAGTGACAAAGACTCTGCTTCGGGAATTAAAATGGCATCTAAAGGAACGAGAGAGATTAATACAAGAGATCGAAAATGAACAGAAAGTGAAAAAAACAGGTGTGGATTACAACTGGCTGAGAAACTACCAGAATCCCCACACGACCATCCCAGCTACCGAACAAAGACAACTTGAAGTTCTTTGCTCGCAAGTTCAGCCTTGCCAAACGGGAAGCATTCTCAGCAGGTAAAACACGTCCTCTGTGATGTGAGTGCTGTTGAGTCCAGGCTCCTCACAGAGCCGACTGGGAACTACTGTATCGTGCAAACCCTTTAACCACAGCTGTCAAATTCCCAGCAAGCAAAACACCCCGCAGGCTGGACGGAGGTCACTGCTGACAGGCCGCCAGCTGGGACACGTTTGTAAACCCCACTTACCATGTCTTTATGAGAAGCATAATGCTAGAGTGAGGCGCAGACCTCTCCAAAGGCGAGCAGCCCCACAATCATGATCACGCTGCCAGGCTGGGCTGTGGACATGGGGGTGTGAGGTGGGAGTGGGGCGGGGGGAGCTGTTCTGACCGGAAGACTCACTGCTGCCTTCCCCCTAGGTTCCGGGAAGTTCTGGCGGAAAATGACGTGCTGCCTTGGGAAATCGTCTACATCTTCAAGCAGGTTCTGGAAGACTCCCTGGGCAGCTCGGGGAGGGGCGGGCAGCGCGAGGGCCCGGCACAGAGGGGGGCCGCCGGGGCCCCAGGCAAGGATGAGATCCCCACCATCTCCAGCGCCGTGGACAGAAACGCAAAGAGCCGGCTCCCCGCCTTCTCCCACAGGACAGGGACCCTCCTGCATCACCACCCGCCCAGCTAGGCCACTGCGCCCAGGAGACTACGACCATCTCGGCATCCGAACTCAGCAGTGACAATAAGAAAACGTGATGTGACTTCCCGTTTCTTCCCTGCAAGGTCAGGAGCTAACGTCCCTGTGGGTGTGCCCTATGTTTTAAATAGTGTTCCTTTTTTAACCACTCTAAAACTGCAAGTTTAGTAAAAACTACAGTGTTTCCTAAATATTTTGAACAAAAAAATATTTGAAGTATTTTCCTATAATTCTCACACATCTCACAGGAACTAAAGTCTGTATTTAGTATAAAACTCGACACGTTCTGTGTGAAACTCAGACATTAACCTTGACTTTTATCCTAAAAGGAAACTGTATGTAAAATAAAATAAATGACTGATGTGAACCTTGTCTTTACTATATCACTGTCCCCAGAGCTGTCACTCAGCAGGGACGGGAAAGATGACAGTGAGGGAGGAAATATGGTCCCGTTTGATGACAAAGCGGTGCTCATCCCAGCACAGACCCTTTCGTAATCTCCGCTCACACTGAGGGAAAGGCCACAAAACACACAGCTCCGCGTTCCGTCAGTGAACAGAGGTGAACTGCTTTATGAACTGCGCCTCTCCAGGAAAAACAGTCAGAGCTGGTGTGTAACTTAAACCAATTCTATGTTCATTTAAAATAGCAAAATGTTTCCAATAGGAATTCCGCATTCCATAATTTCCTTCAAGAAACTTCATTACTCTGATTTACTTTATGATAAAGCACTAGAATCTCTGTTGCTCTCGAAGGTAAGAGCAAAGAACATAGTCTATAACAGTATTCGGAGACTTACTGGGTTTTTAATCTAAAAAGAAAAAATTCAAGATTGGAACTAAATATATACTCTAAAAAAAAAAAAAAAAACCTGACTCGTTTTTCCCTGCACTCCCGGCCAACTTCTACGCCATTCTGAAGAGGCCTCCACTTGGTCTTAAACCTAACTATGTGATAAACGGTGTCAGCTGACCAGGGTTTGATGAGACGAGATAAATGGAAACGCAGCCCTACGTGGATCTCAAATAAAGACTCCCTCATCCCTGCTCGCTATTTTGTTTGGTTTTCGAGATGTAACTACCCGCGGCTTGTTCAGCTACTTCAATCACTATTTGTTTTCTTAGTGTGGAAACGATTGGTGGGAGGGACACGTGGCCCCAAAGTGCAAAACTGCGAGCTGCAAAGGGAAGAGAGAAAGCAGCAAACGGGAGCTGCAATATCACTGCCTTAACAGTGAGGACAAAGTTTCTGTTTGAAACAGAACTTGGAGTTTGTGAGATCCAGGACTAAAACTAGCAGCCTCACCATGCAGAGCAGGAAGCGCAGAGCACGAAGGGGCCCAGAGCATCTCGATCTCCCTCCCAGGCACCGCAGCCCGACAGAGCGAAAGCGGTGAATGAGCCCGGCGCTGTCCACAGGGCCCCCTCCCGGGTCGGGCAGGAAGATCACTTGTTAAACAACAACTATCAAAAAGCTTACGGTGACAGGAGCAGCTGTAGAAAGTTACGGCATTCCATTACCCCAGGACGAAAACAAACCCCGTGCCACTGTCAGTCACCCACAATGCAGTGGATGAATTCTAAGCCGGACTTCGAAGGGAGCAGAAACATACACTGAGCTTTGGTATTCTTTCAGAGTTCCTGCCTCTCATCTCGTTTTTGGCAATAGCCTAATAACCATGTTTCCTGTGATAGTACTGTTATATGTAGTTTAAAATTACAGGAGTTTCTAGAACTTCTAAAATATCAAATAGAAATTTTAACACAAATAACTTTCAGAATATTAACGGATCTACACTTTTATACATTAGGCTGTTTACGGTACCAAAAGTGGGCAAAGGAATGAGGGTTAAAAATATAAGGGGGTGTTTTATGAAGAGAAAGTATTGGCACAGTAATGTAAGTTTTAGGCAGGGAATAGTAAGGAGTAAATATACCAACCCACATAAAAGTATTCTGCGTACCTGACATGCAGTGAGCTCTCAATCGTTATCGTCGATCAGCCCATCCGCTCAGCCATACTAAAGTCATTCTTCCACATGCCAGGCCTGTGCGAAGCACTGTATGTATATTCCCACTGAATACTAACTTTGAAAGTAGATCCTATCATTCCCATTCGACCGCTGAGCAAACAGCCTCAGTCCTGCTCAGTGGCTTGCCCATATACAGAGACAGTATATGGC